TATTATTATATCAATATATATCTAATAATATTATAATCAATATATGTATAATATATAATATTATATCAATATATAATAATAATATAATCTATTGCGCGTTAAGAGGAATATTTTGCTCGTCTATAACGTCACCGTGAAAAATATACATTTTACGTAAATACATTTGGGATTTCCTCGGAAACCTTGAACGAGTTATCAATGTGACATTTTCATTAACAAGCTTGTCGCAGGAAAATTGTGCGGCGCACAATTATATGTAATTTGCACGCGTAACTTTCTATTTTCTGTTACGTTCCTAGAAGTTAATTAAATAGTATAATTTTTTTTGCGAAAAATTAGATTAAAATTTTCATATCAGCCATTTTTTACGCAAATAAAATTTATATTCGTCGAAATTCAACAGCTGCATCTGCTCCATGCGCAATCAGGAAATTTTCCACCTACCACTTATGAACCGATCGAGAATACGTAATGCAAAAGTATCTACGTATAAGTCACGGTGGTGTTAATGAGAGACAAATGTCCATCACAATAAAAGTCGCGGTCGAATTCGTTCGCAGCTTTGTATAGCTTTAAAAATGTCGCGCATCACTTTACGTCAGCCTCTCTGGCCAGCTTACATCGCGCTCTTATTATTTACATTAATTTTAACATCGTTGACGTTGCAACAAGTGGGTGCCAGTCCTCTCCCGGATTTAATAAATAATCATGAGAATTCGACAGAAATTTCGACGGACATCACAACCAACACCGATGTGTAAATCTCTTTTAATATTCTTTAACGTATAACACGTATATGTACACAATAATTTTGCTGTAAACGTTTCTTGCCGTCTTCAGATACGTGATAAAAGCTGTAGTTTACGAGATTGGAATTCTCGCGGACGAGGATAATACAACGATCAGCGAAAGCATCGAAGGGTAAAAACATTTTATTTTATTCTTTCCCTCCCCGCATTTTACTTTTCATTTATTCGAAGGACGTCCAGGATTGCGTTCCAAAATTTTACTCTTGAGAAAAATAGTTGACTCATGAACTAGTATTCGTAGGCGGTTCTTATTTTAAGATCTTAAGGTCTTTAAGAGGTCATATACGTTTTTTCAGTTTCAAAAAATCCATTTTTTTCGCTTATTTTAAAAGGTACATATCTTAGAAACATTTTAAGACCAGATCGAAAAAAAATTTTTCATTTTATCGCACTTAAAAGCTCTTGCAAAACTTTAAACGCGTTTTTCTCGAAATAGCATTTTTCAGAACGATCGGCATAATAACTGCCTCACCGTTCGTCCGATTAACTTCATTTCTGGTATATATGTATTCTAAATTAGATTCGTTCGATCGTGTCACGAAGGCTTTTTTAAATAAATTTAACCACTTTCGAATAGCAATAAAAAAATAGATATTTTTTTGTGAAAATAACGACTCTTTTCTTCAAATTGTGATCATTTCCATAATGTCTTTTTTTTTAATTCCTCTCGTCATACGAGAACTACGATTCTAAAAGTGATAAAAAAATCAAAAATTTTTGTTTCAGATAAATATTATGAGCTAAATCATGCCCAGTTTGATAAAAAAAAACACGTACTATGTCATTGGACCGCCATATTTTTATAAATTTGTTAGTTTGTGCATACGTTTTATGTTCATTAAAAATGCATCTTTAAAATAAAAAAAAAATTTAAATCAATAAGCCCAATAGTTTTCTTACAATCTCTCGCTTTGATTACTTTTCAGATCCGAAAAACGTAGACCCCTTAAGATGCTAATACGGCTGTCTTTTTCTTCTTCTTGTTTAAGACATTATTTAAGATGGTCTTGAAATAAGAACTGATTATTATGAATTAATTCTTTTATTCAGAGTAAAGTTTTCAAACGTACGTGGGAAGTTTAATAAATCAGTGACTTTTTAAAAGAAGGCTATGTTGAAAGATAAGTCAAATTTTGATTTTAAAAATTAAAAAAGAAATAGTCCCGGGAACATCCTTAGGACGTAGGGACATCTTAAGAACCCTTGTTCTTAGGAGGTCTGTATGTTCCCATTAAAAAAGAAAGCCACGCTTACTTTCGAACAATAATTTCAATGTCGTCTTTTTTTGTTTTGCAGACAAGAAAAAATCAACATATCATGGTATAATTCACCGCAGGAAGATGAATTCTCCTAATCTCAACGAATTTTTTTTTTATCAGAGCGAGTACGACAGAATATCCCGTATTCTGTCATACATCTAAACGCGTTATATGAATCGAGAGCAAAAAGTAAAATGTGAAACGTAAAGTCGTGCGCATACACGACGTTCTCGGGATAGACATGTATAGTAAATTATTAATTATATGTCTTATAAAATATAGAACGTAAAGAAAACGCAGAATACGATGTACACAATTTATAAATTTCGATATTAAACTAGTAATGCTGTGACACTTGTGTTTTCTTAGGATTTAGAACAATGTTTTATTAGCTTTTTTTCATTTAATTATGAACAATATCTCGTGTACAACGCTATAAACACATTGCTGCTGCAAAGTCTGCGAGGCAGAAGAAAGTCGTGGAACAATCAGGTAACACAATTCATAGAATGATCTCTCGAAGAATGATGGATATACATAAGGTAGCTCAATCGAAGTATGCGCGACGCTTTGACATTAGTTCCTGCAATTTAACTATTCACTTCTGGAAGATCTTGATGAAAGACTTTTAACGTCGCTTAAAGGTATGTATAAATCTTCCTTTTTTTTTGTTATTTCGGAATGCAAATAAGTGCGCAAGTTCGTAAAGAGCTCTCGATTAATATAATATCATGTACAAATTTCGACTGATTATTACGACAAAAGGTAATAAAAATACTCTCGATTTTCTCTCTCCTCCTTTTTTCTGCTCGTATCGTATCGTTGAACTAACGTACACTCAGTTAAACAGTAGGCACTGCACCTAAGTACCTTTGCCTTATCGAAGGAATAAGCAAAAGCACCAGTTTGTGAAATACCGGTCTTATATAATATTAAACAGCGTTACGATAACTCTTTTCTCTTATGTTTCTCATCCGCTTTTTTAATATATAAACATATAGTAAATGTTCTGTGTGTGTGTATGTCCGTCTATGTGTAAAAAAATTAAATGTCACGAGTGGAGCAAGCGGATGCGAAATTTATCCATCATCTCTCTTTACAAATTGTCTATATGTATCGCACAAAAATGTTGCGATTTATGTTCTCTCCATTCTTCACTCACTTTGTTAGAAATCAGTTATCAGTTACGTATAAATAACAATTTACGAAACTCTTAACAATAATTGTAAAATATATGGGACAGAGGGAGGACTTGATTTTCGCAGGATACTTATAGATGTTGGCCATTCAAAGGGTGAGGTAAAAAGGGGATGGGATATACCTATATATAATAAACATCAAATTATTCGCTAAGTGTAGTTGAGCGTCAATCATTTTTCGGCATTCCGGATTTATTTTAAGAGATACCCTGCAGCGGGACCATAATGTACCCATCAACGTTTTCTTAAAGCATAATTAACGTGGTGTCTAATGAAAAATAGAGAAGGCGCAATATGCATCCGATCAACCGTTTACGACTCGATACTGATATGATTCTCTCTCTCCTTCTCCCCCCTCCTATTACCATAGATCATTTAACATAGGCAGGGGGGAACGTTTCATTTAGCGTCTTTAGGCACCGGTATGGCGTCAACAGTGCTAGTGGATGTGCTTTCCAACAAAGCGGCTGAAACTTGTTCAATTGACGACTTTTCATTCTCTACGTTCTTTGTGTCCTTTACTGTTTCGATTTGCTCCGTGTCCTTAAAATCTCTGGAAACAAATTTTTCAAATAATTCACATTTTAGATTAGACAAATTATGTGCGCTAATTATTATTATGCTACATACATACCTACTGACCAATAACTCGCTATTGACGTTCTCATTCGCGGAAATCATCTTGTGCTCATCACTTTTACTATCATTGAGATCAATTTCCGCAGCTGGCAACTTCATCTCGACTACTTGACTATCTACATAGTCTGTGCTCTTTTCGTTACCATCTCCAACACTTTCGCTACAAGTTACATTCTTTTCCGTTAGGTTTACAGCTGTAGCTTCTGATATTTTCTCTTTAAGTTCATCGCACGGCTTTTTCTCTTCGCTCACGGTGTTCTCTATACTCAAAGTATTTTCGAAATTTTCGAAATTGGCCCAACCAGTAGATTCTATTGGTTCCGACGGTGCCACATCCCATGGATTGACTGGTGGAAGTATAGTGTTCGGTGGTTCGGTATTGTTCCAAGCTAAGATTACATAAGCCATTTCGATAAAATTTCGAGCTTTTTTTTTTAGTCAAATAATGTAAGAATTTTTTATAGAAACATACGATCTGTCGTTTCGACTTCCATATTCATGTTACGTGGTTCCTCTTCCGACGAACTAGAATCCTCCGACGAATTAGAATCATCCGATGAACTAGAATCCTGATGTTGTTGCTTTGAATGCCAATCTCGCTTGTCCACCACGGTCTGGAACGTCAGCTCGCCCTCATCTCCCCATTCTAAGCCACTGCCGCAATCCTCAAGCCCGGCTTTTTGTTTTTGTTGGCACAGCTTTAACAAAAAAGTTATCAATTTTTTCAATTTCAAATATAACACAATACGTATTCGATAACAGTTGAATAGATATCTACCTTATTGAACATATCTTCCCGCTTGTCGAGATCTTCTTCACTGAGATTAAAGGCCAACGTTGTTAATTGGTCAACTGGATTACTATAATATCATACCTCTTAACGAAAACAGTGGGGAGAGAAATGACTATGACAATATTAAGGTTGCGCTCTTCTCACGCGTGTTCTTTCTTGACTCTTGTAAGTTCTATGATCGCGGACCTAGTAGTGCTATATTTTTTAATGAAATCTCGTGTCTATACTTACTGAAGTGCGTCATCACCATCGTTAAACTCATCATCGTGGAATCCAAAATTCTCGATGAACGGAGGTGTTATTTGTTGACCCTGATAATTGGAGTACATCTAATACCAAGAATCCGCACGATAAATAAAGAACTAAATAATCTCGATTTATATATCAATAATATATGAATGTAACCGCTAACCTGTTGAATGTATGTCTCTTGCGAGTAAGAGTTGTATTCATTTGGATTTTCCTCGGAACTCATCAGGTACACATCGGGAGTTTGATCACCCTAAAAATTCCATTATAATTAAAAGTTGTTACTTTCTCATTGCAGTCATATTAAATTACGACATACAATGAAAATTAAAATTTTTTGTTATAAATTATTATAAATGAATGAGTGACATTACGTGTTATTTCTAAATCCATAGAGGCGATGTACTTACAAAAAAAAAGAAAAAAAATAAGAAATATATGTCACATTACTACATACCATCATTACAGTTTGATGAATTTTATTAATTTCCACCAACTGTACACTCACAAGATTTTCCCATCTAGTAAGACACTCGGGTGATACATTGTTCTTTAAGAAGCTGGTCAGTATATTATTTTTTTCGCACTGAGTGACGATATTGTTCGCAATATTTATTAAATGTCCCATGTAGCCTTGACGAACACCATTTTCTTTGTTTCTGTAATCAAATCTCGAAGTTATAACCCTGAATTCTCTATTGCAATATATGCGAAATATTCCGCGAAATATAATACTTTTGGTAATCTTACTGTTTACTCTCGTTTTTATCCCATGCTTCTAAGATTCTCTCTATTAATTTGCACTTGATAAATATCTGTAAATTAAGACGTTCAAATTATTTAACGTATGTTCCTTTGTGTCATAATTTATTTCCATATTATAAGAGATATAACTCACATTATTATAAATAATATCATTATCCCGTTGTCCGCAATTAATAGCTAAGGCCAGGCACTGTTGTACTTGCGTATGTAAGAAATTATTCCAGGTATATTTGAAAAACAGATCCTATAATATATTTTTGGATTAAGAATAAACAAAAGTAGACAATATAATAAAAACTCTTAATGATTCATACACTTATATTGGGTAGACCAAGATGTAGATGGGAAGATAATATTAGAATGGACCTTAACGAAATGGGGTACGAGGGTCACAAATGGAGGGATCTTGCTCAGGGACGGGAACAGTGGCGGGATTTGGTATTTGCGACAATGAGCTTTCAAATTCCTAACGCCTAATAATAATAATAATAA